AGATTTTTAAAAAATTGTGCAACCCTAAATTTTCTCAGAAGGTAGAATATTAACAGAGGCAATTGAAGAATAAGAAAATCAGGGAAAGGATTCAATGTTGGAATGGGTTTCTGGGGGGTAGTGTGGCTCCCATCTTACCACAGTTATTCATTACTCTCCAACTTACAACCAATATCTGTCACAAATCATTACAATCTGAGTGACAGTGGAAGCCTACCATGTTCATCACAGACTGCAGTTTTATGACGATAGCTGAAGACAAATGATTATTTCTGAGAATGAAAGCACTTCTTGCTTCTTTTTTTTCTCACCACAGTGGCAATTTATAAACTCTGTGCTCTCTGCTCACATCCAAAAATGAACCTATACTGACACCAACAAATTTAAAAGACTCAATATCTTCGCAAATACTACAAGTTAAGGAATGTTTTACACTAATATTATGGGACAATACATTTGGATAGCTGCTTCCCAAGTTAAAGTTATGCCATTTGTATTATGAAATCATAGTACCTATTTGAAAATCATTGACAGTAACTACTATATTTGTAAGCTTATATTACTCTCTACACTCCATTTTGTGTGTATGAAATTATTTCGGTATGTGAAAAATCAACTAACTATGTCTTCTAGAAAGAGTAAAAGCTGACAGGAAAAAATAAGACAGATGAAAGCATAATGACATTAGACCACATTTTTAAAAGTTATGTTGAATGATCAGTATTAAAATTTTAATACTGATTTACACAAGTCACTATAGGAGATAGTATAATATGGACCACACATTTTTTGATGTGAAACATTTAGATAATGGGACGAAAGGTGATATATATATATTTTCTTTTTGCATTCATTTTACACAAATAATTTTCTTATTATTATCTAAATAGTGTTCTTACCTTTTGTTCTGACATTCATGTAATTTCAAATACAAGACTTGCTAAGATACCAAATAGGAAGGACTCACAAATCCACTGAAACACACGCCAAAGTGATCAAAGGGAAGCATGTCAAGTCATGATAAGGTCTGAATAATTCTGGTAATCTCCTAGTTCAACTCAGCAAAAATGTGAGCTTGACCTTTTTGAATTTAACAAGATAAAATATGATTATTACATAAAGTCCCATGCCCTATATAAGACTAGATAAAAACAAATAATGGAAAAACATCACATGTGAAATAATGGTAATTATTGGCCTCTAAGTACTATAATATTAGCTTAAATTTTGTAGAAAATTTTTGTAGATAGAACATGCTTCTCAAAATATAGTGTCTATCAGCATCACCTGGAGTCCTTGTTAACACACAGACTTGGGGCCTGACCCCCAGAAATTCTAATTCTAGCTGCTCATTCATATATCACAGCTGGTGTGGCACTGGCCTAGGATACTGACCATGAGAAAAATGTTAATACCGATAGTACTTAGTGTAGAGCATGTTTGGCATCGATACAGATGTTAAGCATGTTCTAGATGGGAGAGAGGTTGCCTAAGTTTTCCTTGATTTGATGGCCATATATTGCAGTTAAAAAATTGATGAAAACTTGAAGACTTCAAATTTCTTTCAAATGTGAGCAAAGGTTAACAACACAGATGTTTTCCAGACTTAGGTCAGGTATATTAGTCCACACATGATGGTCTTTGAAAGCTGTACCCAAGTTACTGTTCAAGTTGTTTATTTCTGAATTTGAATGACCAAATCCACCCTTTGACTATTGAGTGAGAGTGGTAGTTTTGTTTTGCAGATGTTGTGGGTAAAATGGAGCAGACATTCCCATCAGCTGTTTGGTCATTGTGCTTTTTAGTGGAATTACAGCATGCTACATATTTTTCTTTGCAGCTTAAACAATGAGCAAATCCAGACATCCAGAGATGCTAAAATGAAAAATCTGTTTCCTCTTGCTTTGTCATTTACCAGGTGAACTCTGTCAGACAGCACATTCTATACATTTTAAGTAAATGAAATTACCCTTAATGTGTTGGCAACATCTGTCAAAACACTCTTCAGTCAGGAATGGATTTGACAGTGTATTTAATGTCGCAGAATTATGGTTGAGGACATTGGTTTTGCCTTAACCATAAGATTTTTCTCTTTTTTTTTTCTTATTTTTGTTTTTCTTTTCTTCTGTACAATATAATACAAAAGGTATTCTCTTGTCTTTGGTAAGGAAAGAGACATACAAACACCAACCAGCCCTTATAGCTCTCTAAATTACCTATCCTTAGAAAGTATCATCAAGAAAATTCCCTAAGGAGTTTCTGTCACTTACTTTCAGCTAAATCAATAATTGTACATCTTACCCATTCCCTGGAGATTAAAGAATTTATGTTCTTTATAATTTGTGCACATTCTTTATTCATTGAACACTTTTACTAAATGTAACAATGTATATTCTTACATATACTCCCCTAAGAACCTTTATCTTATTGTTTACTTATTTGCAATAACTGTTCCATTTAGTAAAGGAATAGTTCCTCTACATTATTTTCCTTTCTGTGCCTAGTGCTGCTACTTAGAATTCCAAATTATGACAAATCCCTTCCCACACTTCTTTTTGATTGTCAGGCTTCTGGTTTATACACAGAAGCAGCATACTGGCATCTGTAATCAAATGAGTCCCCATACACTGCTTTCCATGAAAAGATTCTCTAAGAACTAGACAGGCCTTCTTAAATTAATTCCTAATGCAGGCATTCAATCCTTCCACCCTTATCGTGCATGGATTTTGATTGTTCTGCCACATGCTCACCTACCTCATTTGCCTCTTCTACCTAAAAACTAACATCTACCTCATATACCCTCGGGGAATGTGCAACCTCCAAGGTACTGAGTAGAAAATATCCTCACGAACAATTTTGCCATTACCTCAGATTTACATAAATGATCCTCTTTGTGGTTACAAAAGGATGATTAGGATCGAGGGATTTCTGGAATTCTGACAGTTTTAACTCCATATTGGAATGTGTAGGGTCAGATAGCCTAAAATGTTAGTCTGAAATCTCAAAATCAAGAGTAGAATTGAAGTTTTGTTCTGCTAAGGGTTAGAATATTGGGAAAGTGCCACTTTTTGGTTAAAAAAATGCTTCAGAACATCCATCTTAACTCTGAGGTTATTCTATAATTTATCCCTAGGTGATTTAAGAAGAACCGTAGTTCTTCTTAAAGTGTTTACTTCTGGTCTGGCACAACAAATACCTGAAATGAAGGCCAGTAAGTATTTTTTTTTCAAAGAAAAAACATAAAATTGTTATTGGTGATAAAATTCAAGCAGCAGGAAGGAAAGATGGTCTGAATTATAATTAAGCAAAATATTTTTATTTATATGTCTCTCACTCAAGAAGTAACCTGTGATACAATTTACAAAATCAAGAAATTCCAACACAGAAGCACAACTATGTACATTTACAATCATAAGCTTTCCCATGCCCTTGCCACTCAACCCCACCCTGCTCCTCTAAGAGAAGCTCCCCGTTCTGCCATGTTGCTTTTCTCTCCTTTGTTGAGAAGCAACCGGGCAGATCCTCCCCATAATAAAGGCTTGTTATGGTCCTGGTCTGGTCCTGGTTTTCAGATCTTTTTACCTAACACTACAGATCTATCGAATGATACATATATTTTTCTGGTTGATCTCAGAGCAAAAGTCCAAATGTCAAAGTATTTCCAAATAATTGGTTCAATTTGTATTCTTCAAAATCAGGAGGAGGCCATAGGGAAGGCTGAGTGGGAACACTGCTCTTTTAACAGATGTAGTCAGAAAACTGGATTTGTATCCAAATTGATCACCCTGAGCGAAACTATTTTAGGAAACAATTGCTTGTGAATAATTAGTTTTGGTGGTAAGATCTTGCCAGCTATGTGCATCTGTCCTTGTTTTATTTCTCTGAAATAATTACTTATATGGAAGAAAAAATAACATAGAAAATATTGTTTAAAAAATGTATTCAGATACATGATCACATTATTACAACTGAATATTTTGTATGTTGTGATATCATGAGTGTCTTTTTATTATTATATCTAACATAAAGCATTTGAATTATAATATCACCAAAATTTCATCCAATTCTAGCCTTTCTTAATTTTTTTAAAAAGATGTTTTCTCCTTCTCTTATTTAGCTACTGAGAGAATAGTAGGGTAGGAAAAGTCATGTGGAAAGATAACATGGTCTGGCTCCACCCACAGACACATAATATATACATTGAAATGTTTAAAAATGTATCTTCTTTCCTGTATTTCCAACAGCTATAATAAATCAAAACACATACTCTAGCAGTATACCTTTCCTAACAGCTGATGAGAAAAGACATTTTTCCTTTCATAAATTTTAATTTGTGCATGGACATAAAAATTTGACCAGTTTTACCAAAGTTCAGTATTCTTCTGGGTTGTGTTAGAAATCTAGGTAGAAAATAGGTCAAACGATTCAGAGAAAAATACCTGAAAAACAGTAGCTTTTATTTTTAGATAATTAATGTTAGATTTCAGTATGTCGTTCAAAGAGATTAGGTCAAAAAGCCATCTGCACTTACAGTATCTTCCCAATGGCAAATTGTATTGAGATGATCAAAAATTACCCGTGTAAATCATGCATAAGTGGAATAAAGTAAAAGTTAGATTTAATTTAAGAACAGTTAGAAAATTTCCATTAATGTTCATCTTTTTTCAGTCAGATAAGCTTGCATTTAGAACAGCAGGATAGAAGATATGTATGATTTCTTTGAATACATTCTAGGTCAACTTTTGGAAAAATAAATGACAGATACTTTAGACACCACATATAAATCACATTAGAGGAAGGGAGTTGCTAAGGCTGTATATTTAGAAAAAGACAAAATGACATGGATGAGTTAAAAAATTGTATACACCTGAATTTAACCTTTTCAGCAAAAAGTAAATATATTTGATGTTAACATAAAAACATAGTATACTGTATTTATTTTCTTAGAAGTTGTCTTCCTGTGGAATGTGTTCTCAGTTGGACTCTGTATGTGCTTGTAGGGTGCTGTGATTACACCAACAATGGACCATCCTATCTCAATGCAGCCAACAAACATGATGGGTCCCCTGACACAGCAGATGAACCACCTTTCCTTGGGCACAACAGGAACGGTGAGTTAAAGAGTTTGTTCGTTGGATTTGAATAAGACACAACATTGTCTTTTAGCTGAAATTATTAGTGGAATGGGTTCTGGATCCTAGCCTAACACACCTTTTAGGTTCCAGTATGAATGAACTTTATTGTGCACTTCAGATTCCAGGAAACATTTGCTCACCTTGACAAAGCTGAGGACTCTACTGTACCACACTGAAACCTCAGGTGCCTTTTGCTATTGTGACGCAAATGCACGAGGAATACTATTTGTTTTTGGAAATGTGTCCTTTTGCGCACACCTACACATCTAGACTCAGTGAAGATATTCTAGCTTCTTACACAAATTTTTTACCGCTTTAGCCAGTGTATCATCTAATTTCTCCAAAGCACTGACTGTGACTGATACAAGGGCTTTTTATTTACTTTCAATGTTTAAAATCATAAAAGGTAATTGAGAGCTTGGCATAATTGAGTTCTTTTGATGTTTTTCTTTGATATGTTGACATAGATGTTACTGAAAAGAAGAAAGGGACTTTAATGGGCTTAATCTCTTTTATTAGAATAGAAAAATTTTGAATGATTTATTTCTCCTTAGAAACAAAAGTGTACTGAAAAATAAGGCTATACCTTGATTTTATAACATTTGAAATCATGGAAAAATGTTTTTTTAAAAAGATACTTTCAAAAATAATCAAAAACATATTCAAGAAGATAAATATTTAATGCAACGTTGCTAAAACTTTATTACTATTACAGAGAACAGTGAAAACCTCATGTGACACCATTAGTAGTTTTATTTTTTCTAAATTTTAATACAGATAGTCTTGTCATTTTTAAGATGTAAAATATATATATAATTTTTTCTCTGATGCAGCTTAGATATTGTAGGAAAAGCACCAGACTAAGAATGAAGAACACTAGTTTTAAATCTTGATTGAACCCTATCGTTTCATCTGTCTGTGGAAAAATAGTAACTTCTGGTCTCAAAAATGTTCAGATATTGAATTTGATATATGCCCCCAACTACATGATTTTATATATTTTGTTCTATATATTTCTTGCACATCATCTACAAATATCTATGTACACTATGCACACTACCTATAAATGGGATTTTTACCTCAAATCAATGGCCAGCTTGCTGAGTAGAGGTATTGATGTGAAATATAAGAAATTTTGACACGTCCTTTGAGGCCTCACTAATCTGCCCTACATGGGAAGAAAATCCATATTCTTAATGGAAAGAGTCATAGTATTTCAGTAAAGAAACTGAATTTTATTAACAAAAACAAAGCTTTTATGTCTAGGGCCCATAGAAAGCAATTGATGATGACACATGTGTCTGAATGTTTGGGTTGAATCAAATGACTTCTTAGGTGTTTGATTTTGAGTTTTGGAAGTCATGTTTAAGATTACATTGCCTTGTTACCGTGGTATAGGTAATTTTCATCAGAGAAAATGTTTGAAGATAACAGTTTTGTTCTTAGTGTGTAAGGATTATTTGTAGTCACCATGTATTAAGAAAACAGCAATTAGTAATTAGTACGCTTGAGTTTTATCATGCTCCAACTAGTGATTGCCCTCTCTCAGCCTTCCTGTCCTTTAATAATCATAAATTTTGAATGAGTGAAGTTGGAAATGTTAATCTCTTGACAAACTGGAATATAATAACAGAGAAAGTTAAAATGCAAAGCAGAGAAAAAATGTTCATCAAACTGGAATATAATAACAAGAAAGTTAAAATGCAAAGCAGAGAAAGAAAATGTTCATGAATTTTACCTCTTTAAGTAAAAAAACAAAGCCACTACCTGCTAAAGTGTAAGTTTATGAATGAGTAAAAATACAAGAGTTAGGCTGAGGATATGCCTTAATTCTTTAGGAAAAATAAACTAAACAACGCTGAACAGGCTCAGAATTGTAATAGTTATCAATTCAATAATATTTATATAATTATATATTTGAGCACTTTCAATAAGAACAAATTAATGTGAGACAATAACTTTTACTCAGCTGGTAACAATAATAATTTTATATTAACACATACTACTCCTTTTCTTAGAGAGTATTTAGCATACGGCTTATTTTTGTCACTTCCTTTAGGTTTTTGCTTTTTTTCATTTTTTTTCTCCCTTTCACTTTGCAAATAAATAATGTTTTGATACATTAAAAGTCTCATATAATATAATTTTATGGAAAAGTTTAAAATTTAATGAGACTCTGGATGGGCAGAAAGGAAACTATTGCTCTGCTTATTTACTGAACAAAATTATAATTGAGTGTGCCGAGTGTCCAGAGCGCTGGGTTTTTTTCCCCCTTAAGCTGTCACTCTAATCTTGGAAGTGCCATGAGAGAGTCATTTTATCTGAATTATTTTATTGGTAGTTGGAGTGGCTATTATGTAGTTGAGGTTGATGTTTAAAGTTAAGTTTTCCCACCTAATGCAATATTTGCACTGATGGGGAAAGCAACCTGGCATTGTAGAAAGTCCAGGGACTTTGGAATCAAACTGGAATTAAAAGCTTGGTTCTACCTCTTTATTGGTAAGCATGTTTAGGCAAGTTGTTTAACTTCTTTGAATTTCTACTTCTTCTTTTACAAAATGAGAAGCATCCCCCAGGGGTGTTATGAGTGTTAGATGGAATGATGTATATAGCACACCCAATATCTCTAGGTATCATAGGTATTAGGTATTATAGGTATAGATACCTAATACCTATAATGCCCACAGGTGCTTATCAAATAATCTGCCCTTAACCCTCTAGCTCCAGTGGCTTCTACCTGGCGGGAGTCTAGACCAGGTAGCACACTATTAAAATCACAGAACAACTCTTTCACTTGTATATGTCAAGCGATGTCATTTATTTCTTTAAAAGTTTCCACTTTGTTTACTGCTGTAATACTCATCTACGATTACAAAGTCCCGATTCCACATTCTTGCTAAGTCAAACTAATGAAGTTGACTAAATTCAAGTAAATACTTTTGAAACAGATATCAAACTTGCTCTATGTTTTCCTGTGTTGTAAATGTGAACATGACATACAAATGCACATGATATTAAAATTATATCCTAGAAGTATTTCCTATTCAGTTAAACATAAAATCTCTGTCTGAGTTTGGAAGACAGTGGAGAGACATGGTGGTCTGGGCAGACTAGAATACAGGCGCCTTGTCAGGAGAAGGCAGCCACAGCAGCTTTTGCTGCATGGGTGTACAGACCCAGGGGGATCATAATTTCCAATTTTTCAAGATAAGCTGAATATTTGGACTTTGATACATTTTCCTATCATTGGATATTGGACACAGTTTGTCCCCGAAGCTCCTTACGTGTGACTGTGGCACAAGGTTTTTCTGGTTCTCCTATAAATTCTCTGGCCATTCTTTCTTCTTTTCTTACAGTCACTAAGCCATGCTTTCGTTTTTAACCAGCCTACATGATTTCCTTAAGCAATCTAATTCACTTTCATGGTTTTAAACCTTGCCTTTCACACAGAAGACTCCTATATCTGAGTCCTCTATGCTAACCTCATCTTAGAATGACGCATTTTCCAACTATTTGCTAGCTATCTCCATGGAAATTTCCCTCCAATTTTTTCAAGTCAGCATGACCACAACTAACCTCATGAGATTCCCTGATCTTCCTTCTAACTGAATTATTTTCCTCTTGGGTTTGCCTACACCCTGTTTTCTTTCAAGCTAATGCCATGATCATTTGTTAGTAGCCATACCACACACCTACAGCTCTATCCAGTCCCCTTTCTTCTCCCTCACTACCATATAGAATGTTTAAGTCTAACTAGTCATATTTACAGGCACCGTTTCTGCCAGACACATCCTCTCTTTCACATTCCAGGGACTCTGCCCTGGGCCTCATCTGTTTCATTGCAATGGTATCCTAACTGCACTTTCTTGCTTTCAGTCTCCCAGTTTTCTCCAGATCATTCTGTATCATGTTACCACAACCAGGTAGTCTAAAATGAAATAACAGCAACTCTCTCCTGCCCAGAAGTATTTGAAGACTTTCAGACAACTGAGTTTACTGAAATTCTGCAAAGCAAACAAAGTCTGATCAGTGCCAAGTAAGAATAAAATAAGAAACTCAGCTCCAGAAAGTGATGGTTTTCAAGGGCAGAATAGAGTGAGATCCAGTAAATATTGAGTAGAGTAGTTAATGATCAAGGCTGAGCTAAATTCAATTATTTTTTTCTTTTTTAAAAGGTGGACTAAGTTATAGCCTATGTCCCACTTTCCTTTTTAAGATCCTGAGCTAAAGGAGTTATATTGAGCCAAAGGCTCTTTTTTAATCTTCATAAAAGGAGATGTATTTCATGTCATATAACTCTATAGTTTGAAAAGGGTGCCGTGCAGTTTAATTAATCTCTCTGCATAACTTTTCATTTCAAATGTTTATTGTTCAATTTCCTACCTATTTTTAAGATAGATACATCTGTCAGCCTTAAAAGAAATGAATTTTATGCAAGCAGAATGACTGCTCTATTTCATGTCTCTGCTGACCTTGATGAATTTTTCTAGCTTTGTCTGCTTTTGTTTATTTTTGCCACAGGATTCCTTTGATTGAAGCAACCCCAGTATCGGTAATTTCTTATCACTTTTGTGTAAGCTTTATCAGAAACCACTGGAGACTTTACTGCGTTATGAAAGTCCCCAAATTGCATGACAATCTTGTTTTACAAGTTTCTTATCTCCCTTTCATTTGTTCAGTTGCTCCTCACCAGTGGCTTTCAGTGTCACCCAAATCTTTTGAAAGAAATACAAAGATTTTGTTCTGAAGCCTCTTTGTCTGCAGTTAGTGTTGTGTTCTCCAAGCCACTGGTGATTTGTGACATCACTGGATTCCCGTGGTGCAACTATACCCACTCACAAAAGCTTGTAATTGTACTCCATTATTCACCACAGTTCTCTAGGGTTTTTCAATAACAACACTCCTTTACTGCTCTAAAATTCAGAAGACTCCAGGAGAAACATCTCAATTATTCACTTTGCTTAGATATTATCTTTTATCATTATTGGGTGTGAATATTTAATATTTTTAATTAATAAATATGTTGGTACAGTTTAGACATGCATAATGGTCACATTCATCATAGGGAATTTGTACCTTTACATGCTATATCTGGATTCTTCTTTTTATTCCCATTCCCCTCCCCTCCTTTCAACCGCTCTTCCCTCCTTATTTACAAAACTTTGTTTCCACTTTTTCCTTCTTTACCCACTTATTTATTTTCCCTTCCTTCCTTTCCCATGTAAGTATTAAGATGGAGTCTTAAAAACTTGCTTAATCTAATTTTCAAATAAAAGACCTTTGAAGAGCAGTCTAACAATGTAAATATCTATTAAGTAAATTTTAAAGTTTTTCTGTTTAAAAATAAACTGTGCAATCAAATAAATTAGCAACAGAGTAAAAAGTCCTAAACCATAAAATGCCCAAAAAATGAACAAAAGTGGTTGATAAAGAAGGGAACAGGATATGGCAAAATATATGAAAAGTTAGTTATAATAAAAGACAGAAACTACAACTTAATCCAACATGTAGAATTAACACAAGTACACATATCCCATAAAGTAAAGTTATCAGAATAGAGCAGACTACTGATAATGGTGTTGGAAAATAAGCACTTTCAAACAGTGATTATGTGATAGAAGAAATCTAAATTTGTATTCAGCACTAGTTAAAGCAAAGTAGGCAGTCAAAATACTTCAGCACATTTATGCTGACAGAAAGAACAACTACAGTTTTGAACAACTAGTTTATTGAAATATCCTAAAATTTAAAATAGCCTTCATGCTTCAAAAATACTTGATAGTGTTCTTTATAATGGTAATGAGAAGAAAATTGAACAAATCATAAACTATCCATACATTGAAGTGCAAAACAGCATATAATTATGAGTTTAAAGTAATTTGAATAAGAGTAATTTAAAATGTTATATCAAAAATGAAAGTAAATTTGTTATGTGGAGTATGATGCCCACTGTGGAAAATAAAATAAAATAATGGTGTAAAGAAACGAAAAGCAAGTGTGACTATTTTGAAGGAGAAGATTAGAGACAATTTCTATTTTAAACATTATAGTTGTCTATATTCTCCAGCTATTCAATAATCAACATTATTTTCTCATATTATTTACTTTTAAATTTTATATTTTTGATAAATGGCATGGTTCAAAAATTAATGGTTTTGTTTTTTCTGGGGTTTTGTTTGTTTGTTTTATACTGGTAATGTGTGACTGGCACTTTTTCAAAAGGTAGGAATTAATACGACTATTAATAAAATATTTTATAGTCTTAAAATGATTCTATTTCTCCTAAATTTGGAATTATAATTAATCTACAAGTTCACTGAACTATTTTGAGAAACATGGTTTTTGTTGCATTTGAATCTTCTGATCAGTGTTTGCTTTTGTCAAAGTGCTTTGCGATGTTTAAGTTCTTAACCTTCTCATATGGCACTTACTCTGGAGCATGATTAATATTATCCTTTTGTGGCAAGGAGATGAAAGTGAGAAATTTGGGGTGGTCCAAAAGGTTTTTAATGGGTGGAAAAATAAATTTGGGGTTTTGGCTTTTAAAGTGGAATTCAGGTCATATGATTAAAATAAGGGTTCACACAAGAATATCTATTTAACCATGTTTGGAGCAGTTCATTTGAATCTGAACAATACTGGGTCCCTTTTAAAATTTTTCCCCCAAAGGAGAACTGAAACAAGATTAGAATTTTCCTCTTTTAGAAGGGGGGTTAAGGCCACAGGCTATGTTCTACTTTCCCTTTTGTAAGATCCCTGGCTAAAGAAATCGTACCGAGCCAAATCTTTTTTCATCTTCAGAAACACAAATAGATATATTTGGTCCCGCATGAATCAAAATTTTGCAATGATTTCCATGTAATTCAATGAAGCTTTCCTAAAAATATGTTACCTCTGGTGTTAGAACACTTCAGCAAAAAAACAGCCATCATCCATTCAATAGGCTGTGGTCTATGAATTTCTGCTCCACAATGTCAGCGCAGAAAGCTTCTGTGTGGAGAAAAAGTCCCCTTGGCTTTGCCTCCCAGATAGCCACCCATCACACCTGGAACTCAGTGCCTAACAATACAACTGGGGCTTCAAATTGCATTCACCTCCATACATTACGAAAATGTGTATGTTTCTATATTTCTCCTCTAAATTTTCATTCTTCCTTTTGTTCCCCAGGACTTTGCCTTATATCATGCTTTGGTCCCCCTGCAAATAGGCTGCCTGTAAAACTTTTGTGTCGCCAGGGAGGGTAAACATTTCTCACCGATTCCCTAATAAAGAGAACAAACAGGAACATTATTATGTTCCAGGACAAATTACAGTGAACTGGCAGACCATGCTGGCTCTGACATCATGGACAACATGGTGGTAATGGGAACCATGGTAAACTAGAGAAACAAGGCTTTCACTGCTTAAAGGCAGGGGTTTAGATGGCCATGTGACACACAGTGGGCCTTTCCAAGTTTTAAAGCTAAGATCCTGTTTTATTTTCTTTTGTACTTCATTGCATTCTTCTCATGCTGTTTTCATTCAAAGATTCAATCCCAAGACAGGATTATGATACTCCACCAGCTGTTGTGTCAGGTAGGAAAATTCTAATTCCTTTAAGATGTGATTTGAAGGGGAGAGATGGAGCTTGCCTGGTTTTCTCCAAAACTCTTTAAAGCAGTGATTCTCAATAGCAGTGGGTACAGCAAATTTGGATTTTATTTTGGCAGGGGGTGTATATGTTGCTTTTTAAATAAAAAAAAAAAAGAGCTCAAAGACACTGTGTCTATCAAGAACACACAAAAGATAGAGCCTCTATTCTCTATCGGTGATTCTCAATGTTAGAAAAGGTCATCACCATTTCTGAAAAGTGGGATGAGGACATTATATTTAGCAAAAGAGTCATGGGTTCATAAAAATAGATTGAGAAGCACTGCTTTATAGACCAAAAGTATCCTGAAGTTTAAAATATCATCCCATTTTGCTTATCTGGCACCCAGCACAGGGTCTGACAAATAGTAGGTACTCAGTATAATTATTTGTTGAATGAATTAAAAGTTTAAATTTGTTTCAAAAATGACATTTTGTACATCAAAGTAAATCTATCAAGATTTTATTTGTACAACAAAGTGGCAGTGGTTGCTTTGTAAATACATTAGGGTCTTCAGGATTTTAATTACCAATATTTAAGTTGTTTCCTAGAGTTTTGGTATAGCTTGGAACAGGTGTATGTGTGCAAAGAAGTTGGTTTTTATTTTAAACTGCATAGACTTTGTGCATTCATCTTAATTTGGAATTTTGATTTCTTGCAAAGAGGAAAATGGGCACAACTGTTTATTTATGTTGACTTTTTTTTTAGCTAAATGAAATACTGGCAGTCTGAAGTGCTTCGAAATCTTTGATCCTTTTAGATGGAAAAAACACAAAATCCAAACTCAGAAGAGCATTAGGGAGACAGAGCTAGAGAGAATGAGAGCAGATATAGTAAAGGAGTCCACAGAATGGTCAAGCCTGTCATCCAGACAGGGACTTCCAAGCGAAGAACATTGTGTTCTTGACCACTCTGCTTGCTTGACCCAGCATCCTCAGTGTCCTGCTGGGAGACAGAGCTAGAGAGAATGAGAGCAGATATAGTAAAGGAGTCCACAGAATGGTCAAGCCTATCATCCAGACAGGGACTTCCAAGCAAAGAACATTGTGTTCTTGACCACTCTGCTTGCTTGACCCAGCATCCTCAGCATAATCTCTGTCGTGTGTCCTGTGGACTTGTCCAGTTATGTTCATGGCCACCTTCTTACCTTGGAACGTTAAGTAAGCATTTCCGCATCGAGGAATGGTGGCTTCATTTTCAACTGTGAAGTCCCTTTTGTCCTCTTGAGGATGTCTATAAATTTCCGTTACTTAAAATATCACAGTCTTTCTCCAAAGCATGTTACTTGTCATATCTGAATGTGCCATGTTCATTTAAGATATGGGACACTTGGGAAGAGACTTTGTTTGACTTGTACGGCTTCTGCTTTGTTTGACATGTAGCGTCTTTGTTTACCTAGCGGAATCTATTCCGGATACTTTATCAGTGTTAATACTAATAAGTGACCCAATCTGGAACTTTCTTTCAACTAACTGTCCTGATTTCACTTTCAAGAACACATTGCAAAAAGTAAAGTACTTATATATTACCCTTGGGTCAAGTGCTACCAAATCAATTGAGGCAGAAACCCTGGCTAAAAATCAGAGCTCTAGATTCAACAGACTTTAGTCACTGAAAAGTCTTGAGCAAATATGTAATCTGATAAAATAGTTTAAGAAATATCGTCTAGAAGTTTTGTGTGTGTTTGATGAAAAAGATAAAGGAATTGCACAGAAAAGTTAGAAGCTCACACATTATAAATTTATATTAAAAATCTGCTATAGTCCTACAAATGGAGTACAGAGGAAGGGACCAGTATAGTGTTCATATGAAAAATAATGTTTTGGGTTACTTTATAGTTATTGTTTCCTCATAAGATAAGATGGCTGGCTTGACATATAATTTTCATAGATCTTTTTTGTTTTACCTCAAATAGAAACAGACTTACTTTTTAAAAATTGTCTTTTCACTGACTGGTGGGACAGCTTCAGTGAGTTTTGAAAACTTGTATGTGCTTTGCCCAACCATATCAGAAAAGTGAAATGGCTATTGTAATAGCTCCTTCCATACTATCCCAAAATTCCAATATTGAACAACTCAAATAGTTATTTGCCAGTGTAGGAGCTAACCAGATTTGCTCTAATTTATTAAAGTTCAGGATATGTGCTTCATGACTTGCAGGCTATCACCCAGACTAATTCATTCAATCAATATTTCAAACATTTAAGCAATTTCCATACAGTAGATACTACATTCTAGTGATAGATGTTCAAATATGAGTTGAAAATAGATCCTTTGTGGGCCGGGGATTTAGCTCAGTGGTTCTGCTGCCTGCCTCTCAAGCACAAGGAGCTGAGTTCGATCCCTGATACCCAAAGAAAAAAAGAAAAGAAAAAGAAAAGAAAATAGATACTGGTAAGCCATACTGCGATCTCATTTAATGTTATTAGTGATATTCGACATATAATATATAAAGGAACAAGAATCTAGAAATAAAATTTGAAATCCTCAGAAATACAGTGCATTTTGAGCTGTATTAGGAAGGATAAATCTGAGTTTACCAATTAGACAACAGTGGGAAAAGTAAAGTAAGGAAAGAGTACAGGATATGGAAACTCTTAGAAACAAGAAAGAGTATGCAGTGTATTAAGCCTCAGTAAATCAATTGATAAGGAGTCAAAGCCAGGTCAGTATAAATCTGACTTGGGGTGAGAACACTTTTTTCTTTGAATCATGTTTCATCTTATTCTTTTATTTGTTTAAATGATATGTACTGGAAACATTATATGTGGTTATTATCGTGCTAAGTGCTAGGGATGCAACTTTTTTCTAATGAATTAGGAAATTAGGTATAAACAAATTACTGCCACACAATGTCATAAATGCTTCAATTATAATAATGATTAAGTTTGTCCAGTCATAAATCAGATGCCTGAATAAAGAAGCTACTTGTGTCATTTACTAATTGTGGAAACATGGGAACGTTATTTCTCTGTAGCTTAGATTACTTATCTGATGAAATAACCTCATAAGTTTTTCCTAAGCATTGGATAAGTTAAGGTTGGATGAGTTACAATATTTACGCTGCTTAAAACAGATCCAGGCATAAAATTAGAGTTCAAATATTATTAGCCACAGCTATATTAATCATTATTGGTATAAGCATTGTGACAGCACAAAAAAGAACAACTAACTCTATTAAGAGAGGTCAGAGAAATAGTCTCAGCAGAATAATTCTCTAAACATAGATATAAGGATACGTGAGTATTGTCTAAGTGCACAATACTTTAGAAGGGAGAACTTATGACCAAAGAGGCAGCATGTCCAAAAGCTTATTTGAACAAAGTATGGCAGAATGAGGGAAATACAGCTGTATAAATAGGGCGAAGATATACACAGAGCAGAAAGAGTAGAGAAAATAAGCCTAAGAATGAGATGTGATGGAACAACACCACCAAATATAGCCTATTTGACATTATGACAACAGAAAAACATTAAAATTTTTTATGTTGGAGAGTAACATAATAACTCTGGGTATCAGGTAGGGAGAATACACTGGAGAGAGGCAAAACTAGAAAGGAAAGAACTGAAGTCAGCAATCCAAGGAAGAAATCACAGTGGTTTGTTCTCAGCACATAGAAATGAAAATGGAAAGTTGGTAAATTTATGACATATTAATGAGGTTTAACACATAAGACTAGCAAACACTTGAATATCAAAATAGGAAGATAAATAATTAAATCTAGCTCATAAATTCCTAAGAACTCAAAGGCCTGAGGTGCTATTTGTCAGGGTCTGAACCATGGAAAGGAAGATCAGATTTGTCCAGAAAAGGACTGAATTTAGTGTCACGTATGTTGAGTTTGAGATTTCTGTGATGCATGCTGTTGAATACGTTTGGATATTTCTGTCTGAACTCAGATGATATCTCCTACCTAGTAGGGGGGTTTGGAGATACCATCATTGAATTAAGCGGTGTCACCTAGAGAATGTGATCAGGGCCAAAGAAAGTACACATGATCTTAAAAATAAAGAGTCAGAAAATTGAGCTTAAAATAAAGATTGAAAAAGACAACTCAGGTGTGGAAGGAAGAACAAGAGGATGAAGTTTCAAAAGAGAATGCTGTCTAGTGACATGGGTCTGGAAAATAAGCCATTGGATTTTGCCTTAGTTACTTTTCTCTTTGTTGAGACAAAATACCTACACCTAAATTTAAAGGAGGGAAGGATTATTTAGCTGAGAGTTTGTAGGGGTTTTAGTTCATAGTTGGCTGGCTGCAAGGCAGGGTGGCAAGGCAAAGGGCATCCCAAAGCAGGGAGCAAGCAGCAAGCAGCAAGCAAGGACTCTCTCTCCCTTACAATTTATTCAGTCTACCCACCATTAGGGTGGATAGCACTCACATCTAGGACCTCACCCAGAACCATGCTAAACCAATCAGTGGACTAATTTAGTAATCATATATCCTTGATCCCAGCATCACACACTCCAGATCCAGCCACCTCTGAAAAGCCCTACCCATGACCCCATGAGGTTTTGGGAGGACATCTAGACACAAGTCAAAACAATTTGTTATACAGAGTCACTAGTGAATTTAATGGGGCAATTTAGGGCAAAGGGCAATGACATTGAATGGCAGATAAGAAAGCAGAGAGCAAGCTTAAGTAACGCAAAACATTTGGCTTTGAAGAGGAGGAAAAAAATGATAATAAACCAAATAGAGACTAGAATTGACTATTTTTTAAAAGATGAGAAGTATTGGCTATGATGGAAAGAAGGCAGGAGATACTTCTAAAGTTTAAAGACATAATTCATAAAGATAACTAATAGAACAAGGTCTTTACAGAAGCTCTTTGTGTGTTCTACAAATGTGAAGGAGCAGAAACCAGGAATAATGTACGTGCATGTAAATCTGTATATATAGACATAGGAAGTCTTGGTGATAGCCATTCCTTCTGGGATGAAATG